TCTCCATATTATTTTAATGAGGAATTACACAAGAAGGTTGATGAAATATTCTCATTAATGCTCTACTTTAGACAATGTTCTCTTACGTACAAGACTAATCCACAGCAGTACAAAGAGAAACCAGTCAAAAGCTTTATTACCAGAGTTTTTAAAAACAAGCTAGTGATCTTTTTCTTTTTTAATTTATAAAAACATCACCAGAATCCATAACTGTCCAAATAGCTCCTACTTTTAATTCTAATATTACTTGAAAAAAAGGTTGAAAGGGACAAAGGATGAAAAAGAAAACTGTATCCAGAGGGAACTTAAATGGTAGGATAATAAGGACTTGTCTTAGGCAAGACTTTTACAGACTTCATCTGATAGAAAGAAATCAACATGAAGGGCCTTGGTGAGAATACCCTACCTGCAGATCACTAAAGTACAAGTTGCATAGGGAATACTTTACCATATCAACTACACAACACTCTTAAACTTAGTAAGAAATAAGATTATAAGAGAAATATTTTCTTCCTGGCCTAGGCCAGTAAGGTTCCACATAGATAGGGATCTTTAGTACATTATTTATTCATTCATTCAACTACGCACAATACACCAATATACTTTATAAGGAATACAAAGTGTTAAATTTAGCCTTTAAGAAATAAGATCAATACAGACAAGAAAGTGTCATAAAAGCAGCATAAATAAAGCATTGTTTATGCAAGAAGGACCAGGAAAACTTTTAAGGAGTGCATAGACTGAATGTGGGCATAAGAAAACTGGAAAAGCCAGAGGAAGAAAAGAACTGTAGGTGTAAGACCAGTAGAAGGCAGGGGACAGACGACAATACAGGGACTAACAAGAAGGAACTTGGCTTGAGCATAAGGGATAGAAATGAAATGATCAGAATGCTGGCTTTGGTTTGTTTACAAACAAAACACTTTCAGTTCCAGGATGAGGGATTTGGGTTTTATTATGCATACACTAAAAATTTCTGAATAAAAGATGAAAAAATTAGTCTCATATCAAAGAATGAAACACCAGGTGAGGAAAACATTGTGTTTGGAGTCAGAAAAGCTGTTGGACATAAGCATAGAAACAGATCATTCATCAGAAGGGGATCATTACAAAAACTTCTATTCACCCTAACTTGTAGTACAGCTAACTCATATTTAAAAAAAAATAATTTATATTTTTTAACTCCATGAATTTAATTTTATATGTTCAACAGAAAAGAAGAGGGAGGAGAAGAAAAAGAGATTTCACACAACCTAATATTAAATGCATTTACTCCTCAGAATAAACTTGAGATGAGAAATACGACTACATTTCTTCATTCAGTCTCAATTCCCATGTTTCTATCATAGCTTAAGCACAATTCTAAACATATATGTATTTCTCATATAATATGGTACCTAATCATAAGTAAATCACTTTATCAACCAAAGAAAATAGCCCTGGAGAAAGGAAAAAATTAAAGAGGTCTTTTTTCCTGAGGAGCCACTGGGTGTTCTGAACCACCGACTTTTCAGTTAACAGCTGAACATTTAACCATTGTGTCCCCAGGGCTCCTTTGGTAATATCTAGACTAACACAATTTAGGGCATATAAATGTTTATACTCTTAAAGCATAAACTTGTGTTTGTTTTGTGTGAGCAACTGAAGAACATCTTTCCAACTCATATTTTCATTTAGTTATCCAACACTTGCTGAGCACCTACTAAATGCCACACACTATGTTAAATGCTGGGGATGCTAAATAAAATAAGACACAACCCTCTATAAACTCCCTCTAGGAATTTACAATCTAATGAGAAAAGATATACTATAGTTATGATAAAAGTATACTCAGGATCCATGGGTGTCAGGAAATGCTCTTTCGAAGGAATATTTGAATAAAGTGAATTTGTGCTTTTCAAATTTGGCTGTGCATCATAACCACATTGTTGTTGTTGTTGTTGTTGTTATTTGCCGTCGAGTCGGCCCTGACTCATAGCGACCCCTCCCTGGGTTGCCAAGGCAGTATCACTACGGAAGTAGGACTGCCCAACCTTCCTTCCGAGGAGTGGCTGGTGGGTTTGAACCGCCAGCCTTCTGGTTAGCAGTCAAGTGCCTTAGGCACTATGGTACCAGAGCTCCTCATAACCACATATAGAGCTGTTCTGGCCTCACTTCAGATTTAATGAATTAGAATCTCCCAAAAGGGAAGATAGGATTCATATTTTTAGCATGTGCCACAAGTCATTCAGAATCACAGGCAGGTTTGGGTTACAGCGAGCCAGAAGTACAGAGAACCATTCCAGCAGAGAGAATGGCTCAGCATGCCTGGAGTTTGTGAAATGTATAGAGAAGACCAGAGAGAAACCAGAAAAATTGTAGTGATATAACTAATACGATATTTCAATCAGGACCTACATGCTTGGGCACAAACTTCAAAACAGAAGACAATCATCTGTGCCAGTATTTTAATAAATGATTTGTAGCCTGAGCAACTTTCTTACTAAAACATACAGAAAACTAAATGCAACTACTTTGAATTTCAAGACAAGGTAACATGATCTTTTAAAAAATACAAAGAAATGAAAAGAACTCTAGTCATAACTGATATGTCATGACCAATCATCTCTCAGGATTTATTTCTGAAATTACAGCAAAAGTTATAATAATATTGTTTCAACTTAAAAATCTTTAATGATGTATAAAATAAATTCAGCCTTTAAAACAAAACTGTTCCTAATGATTTTAAAATTTCAAATTGCTGTTTCATAATGATTTATTACTTTCTGACTAAAAGTTTACCTATATTTGTAATTTATCCTCAAATCCAAAAGCCAAATTCTTTAAAAGCCAAAGAGAATCTTTTCCATTGATTTCTACTTGTTAAGTAACAAATTATTTAAATACTCAACTGTTTAAATCCCCAATTCACCATTCAACAAAGAATTCAGAAATAGAGATTTGGAGACGTAATCATTTGAAACAGAAGTAAGCTTTTTTTTAAAAAAAAAAAAAGTTCTTTGGAAGACTAGGGATAAACTTACTAAAGCACAATATACAAAATATATCCTATTGCCATATTCTATTTCTAAAAAGGCCCTCCAAATCTTAAACTGTCTAAATGTATTTAAAGACTCACAGAACAAAGATTCATTTACCAAAGTGAAAACTATTGCCAAACCATGCATAGTGATTCCCTGGAGAACATAGGGTACAGAAACAAGAGCAGTTAAAAACCCAAAGTCAAAGGAATAACCAAATAGCCTTATTTGAGAAGAATCAATGAAAAAGTATAATAACTGGCTAATTACCAGAATTAAACCTATATACTTGATGTAACAAATCATCCTTTTTTACTTCGTTTAACATAGTTTTTAAAAATGGTAAAATCATCTGGTTGTCTTAGTTTCCAGGTGAAATTACAGGAACTAAAATATAGCTCCGTCAACTTGTCAAGCTAAAATGACCTATTTACATAAAATGTAATGTAACTTTGTTTTCTGAATCATTCTCTGCTTTATACATTCTTCTCTGTTTTTACAGGAAGTATCCAAATCCCATTTTGTTGTTGTTGTTGTTGTTATGTGCCATAGAGTTGGACCCGACTCACAACGACCCCTCCTTGGGTTTCCGAGGCAGTATCACTACGGAAGTAGATTGCCCCATCTTCCTTCCGAGGAGTGGCTGGTGGATTTGAACCGCCAGCCTT